TTTCTGTGAACGCTGACGAATACCCGCTGCTTTGTTCCTGTTCAAGGAATCTGTTGAACTACCGAGGAAGACTGTTGCACAACAATGCAATGATTCAATCTGTCTGTGAAGATGGCTCATCAAGCTCCAACATGTTCTTGGTAGTGACAGGGCACGAGAAGGTCAAATCAGGTCGACAGCATAGTTATGGTCCTAGAAGTGAAGTTGATTTTTCTGCCTCCGCTGTTGGATGCATTTGTATCCCTAACGTTTCCTCTTGAATCTTACTTACTGTACATAGTGCTGATGCAATATCACGCACATTATCTAACAAGATAAATGCAGGGCTGCACAGTTATTGAAGCTGATGTATTATTTAGCAGGACGTGGCTAAGTGGGGGTCAGACTGTTTTAGATTTCATTCATTCATTAGAGCCTGTAAATAATCATCAGGTTTTCTGAGGCTCCTTGAACTCCTCATCTGTGATGTGTTGTTGTCGAGGGATTTTTTAAGTGAACTGAACGCTATATGGAGAATTTTTTATGGCACTAGAGCTTTCCCTACTTCTATTCATCACCGTGCTGTTTCCATGGAGGTGCAGGACTTTATGTTACAGGGAATAAAATGAGCTCACGGTGAATAAAAATGCAAAAGCATGCAAAACATGGAGTGTGCAAATAGTAATAACTTGTCCGAGCAAGGCATTTAGACTAGCAAATGTGTTTCTATTTGCATTTAATAGAATGAAAAGCTCAGTTAGTAAGAGCTGGTAATAGAAAGTCTGAACAAACGTAGCGTCTCTGGTCACAAATTTGCAATCCCAGAGTCCAGTATTGATATCAGCAGCATCCAGAGCAGCATCTTGACATGAGGTCGCAGCTTTAAGACGGTAATCGCAGCGTGAAATTGAGGTCGTATAGCTTTCCAGTCGGACCGGTGAGTAAACACGGGTCACAAGTTCAGCAGCACATCGCTCACAGCCGCTCGGCGCTTCAGCCTCACACAGTGGCTGACTCTGAATCGGAGGGCGCTCGCTTTAAAGAGACTACTGTTCCTCATTAGGGCCTCATGATGTGGTTGGACACAAGACTCTGACTGATCCCAAGTCACTCGCTTCCCATTCGTTCGCTACATAACGGACGTTCAATAGCAAACAGTAAAACGACTGTTAGTTTAGCTTCAGGCTCAGGATTTGAACATTCAAATCAAATGGCGGGTGATTTCGGACAGAGTTATAGATTTTTCTCCTTCCTTTTCTTCTGATGTTGTGTTTCTTTTTCTTTTTCAACCTTTTCCTAACTCCACTCCTACCCACCTACCTTCTATCCTTTCCTTCTCAATCCCTTTTTCCTTCCCCGAACCCAAACACTTTGCCCTCCTGCTAACCCTCTGCCCGTTAGCCGACTTTGGAGCCTAAACTCAAGGTATGTTTAGCTAAGAATGTGTAGGCTGTGTATATATTTTTTTAAGGAATTAGAGTTCTTTAAGGCATAAGTTGACATTTTAGGAAATATGCTTATGTGTGTTCTTCATGAAAGTCGATGTAGCTGCATCGTTAGCTTAGCCCTTGGACTGCAACAGGCCGGCTAGCTTGGCTTGGTAGAAAACTAACAAAAATAAAATGTCATCAAATATATATGTTTATCTAATTATATAAGATAGGCTGGAAAACCTAGCTTGCCTAACATTTAGGATATAAAACTTCATTATAAAACAATTTGTCGTTTTTTGTGATATGCTTTTGTGCTCTTCCTAGTGGGAGTAGCCACATCTTTAGCTTAGCATAAAGAATGAAACGGGAGAAACGGCTAGCTTGGCTCTGTAGAAAGGTAACAAAAATATAACATAATATATCTGCTTATCTAATTATAGTAAAGATTTAAACTCTTAACTAACTTAGACTTCTTCAGAGAACAATTTGCCTTTTAGAGAATGTGCTAGCTTGCTTTCTTACTGAAAGTTTGCTTGATGTAGCTTGAGCAGCTACAGCGTTAGCTTAGCCTAAGCAGGAGAAACAGCTAGCCTGGCTCTGTAGCAAGGTAACAAAAATATAGTATGCTACATGATATATCTGTGTGATTATAAGACAGAATTGAAATCTTAACTAACTTAGCAATTAGGGAATGATATGTCTTTATTAATCATACTTATTTGCTTTTTTACTGAGACTTTGCTTGATGTAGCGTGTGTAGCTCCATATATAGCTTAGCAAAAGCAAAACTGTGGAGACCGCTAGCTTGGCTCTGTAGAAAGGTGACAAAAATATAATATGTCGCATAATATAACTGTTTAGCTGCTAATATAACATTTTGAGAATAAAGTATCCTTAAGGTACAATTTGACAATTAAGGAAACATGTTCATTTGCTTTTGTAGCGGAGGTTAGCTGGGTGTAGCATAACTAGCTGCTTCTTTAGCTTAGCATAAAGTCTGAAACAGGAGAAACAACAAGCTTGGCTCCATATAAAGGTAACAAAAATATAATATGCTGCATAATATATCTATTTATATCTGTCTGTTGACTTGAAAACTTAGCTCACTTAATATTTATTAAATAAGACTTATTTTAGGAAACAGTTTGACATATTAGGAAGCATGCTAGTTTGCTCTCTTTGAAATAGCTACACCTTTAGCTTAGCATAAAAACTGAAACAGGAGAAACAGCAAACAAAATGTAACATTATATTCAAGTACATTAATTATTATTGTCTGTTTCTCTTATTCATATGGCAGACTTGAAATTATAACGATAATACACAACATTCAGTCTCTTGAATGTTAATTAGCTGATAATAAAAACAGTGAACATTGTCTTTCCAGGTGTATTAAGTGTTTTCTACATGTTTTTTTTTAAACTGCTAATTAGTTTTATCTCCATTTATGGCATGTTATGAATATACATGTGCTGGGATCCCATTTCATCGTGAAACAGATCTGCATTATTTATTCTGTGTTTGTTCTGCAGAATTTCAATCTTGACTGCTCAAACATCCGCTTTGTTAAAATCACATGGAAGCCATTTTATTGGTTCGACCCCCACGTTACAAAATACCTTCTGTATGTGGTCACTGGTTAGTTGTTTGTGTGTGTTGCGCTCTTGTAAAGCTGCCTTCCTCGCTGATAGTACGTCGGTGGGAAAGTTCAGCGCCAGTTGCCAGGAAGAACTTTCTCTCCTTTTCCCATCTGACGGCGACGATGATGCCGAGACTGATGCTCATGACAGCAGATGTCCATGAGTCATCTGTCACTTTAATAACAATCTGGATCATCATCGCTGCTTCTCAGGAAGTCTGGACGGTATGTCGGACCAGACTGTAATTACAGAAGCCGTGTGTGTGTGTGTGTGTGTGTGTGCGTGGTCACGGTATCTCGCGTACGACCTCGTAATGATAATGATGCTAATGACATGTTGATTCGGGCTCCTGTGCCGTCATTATGCTGCACATGAATGAGATCTTCATGCTGGCCTAATCGTGTGGTTTGTCAGCGTCCAAACAGCTGTTTGCGACACAAACACTCAATATCCATATCTGTCCTTCTGTCTGTCTAAAACACACCATAAACCTGCTCCTGCTGCCACACAGGGCTTGCTGCACACCTGCATAGTGCTTCTTATGTTTGTTAACTTTATTTCTGTTGGTCGTATCACTATAAACCAAAAGAACCCTTCATTATTTCAGCTGCTTCACTACATGATAAGCTGATGCAACTGTAAGGCAGATGCCCTTTACAAAGGCAGCCTGCATTTACAGTGTCTCTGTCCATTGTGTCAAATCCACAGTACTTCTGCATTTCCAGGTGGTTTACGGCCATGATTGTAGCGTGGATGCTAGTGTCCATTATCTTATGTCAGTGAAGCGTCCAGCGGTAGTTTAGTGATAGGGAAATCAGGTTCGCAGCAGACCAGATGAGGAATCCAGGACAACATTCAGAAATGTTTTAGTCATGTTGGACAAAAAAAAAAGGCAACCAATAAGCCGTTTTCACCCAAATTGTCTCTAGTAAACATCCCTCCACTCTTATCCCGACTTAATCCTGGTTTAATCCTGACTTATTGTGCCTCATAGTTGCACATTTTTTCTGTGCAGTGAGGAATTCTAGTGGCAATTTGCATGCATTTTCAGTTATACCTCTAAATAAATAAGCTTAGATAAACTCCTTAAACTGCTTTCGTCAAACCTGAGATCGTCCAACATCTCCAGTGAAATGACATTGTACCAGCGTTATCTTATGCAACAGAAGTGCTGGTCAGAAGCTTTAAAAATAGGACCTTCCACTGTAAAAATATGGTGTGATTTAACTGAATTTTTCCCTTTTATCTGACACATTTTTCAGCATTTTGGAAATTCACAAAACTGTCATTAAAATTTAAAAAACAACAAAAACCTACATCACACATGTCAAAAATATGTGCTTTATGACATAAACAAGACGTTTGAATACATTTGATGTGATCTAAAATGACCTTTTTTAGTTATTTCTTTTTTATTGTAATTGTTTTCGTAAGTATTTTGTTAATTTAAATCTTTTTAAAGGCAAAATCTGTCAAACCTAAAAGATTTTTTTTGTAAAATTACAGGTAAAAACTTGACAGAATTCTAGTTATACAGTAATATTTTGATTTTTATGTGCAATTACATCATAAAACAGACAATGAAGTGTTTGTGCAGTGTTATGAATGAACATTATGTCACCGTATTTGTAGGTAATTTAATTACTTTTACACATTAGGGTGAGAAACAGTGTTTTGATGATGGAAAGTTATTATTTTTTGAAGTCTAGAGTAGTTTTTGGTGCCCTGGTTGCCTGAAAATGAGTTTTTTTCTCACATTTTTCTTTTCTTTTCTAACAGTTTGGCCTTAATAAAACATCCTTTAGGAGCTAGAAGTGGTTCACGGGCTCCTGGTTTTAAAATCCAAGCTGTCCTTATCTCCTCTTGCAACTGTGCGATGTCGGTGTGTGTGTTGCTGATAACACTGTGCGTTCGTCCTTCTAACATCTCTATTTCTGTTGTCGCCTAGGAGCCCAACAGCGGGCAACCCACGCTGGTAACCCTGAAAGTCGACCCAGATGGATTCTTCCTCTACTGGACTGGAGGGTCCAACCTGGTAAGACACACAAAAACACACACTCAGTAGTGGTCTCAAAGTAGGCCAAATGGACTGTTGCCCATCTCGCAGAGTGCTCATGAAGACAAACATGATCGAATCCAAATGGGGCACTCTCAAGTTAACCACAATGGATGTTTTATGTGCCAACATAAGTGCTAACATGGATCTCACACCCCTTGTTTCTCTACTTTAACACCACTACATAGCTGCAGCCCCTCTCATCCCACATGTTTCGCTGTCTAAATTGCCGTTTCCTCCTCCTCTCGTTTGTGCGCCTGTTGTTGTGGTTTTATCCCGTCCATTAGCCGAACCGCAGTGGGTTTTCATCAATTTGTCCCGGTCTTGTTTGTCTCCTCTTCCCCCTCCTGTTCGCTCTTCTCCCCGTCGTGTTTTGCGGTCTCCATCCCAGCTCCATCCGTCTGTCATGCATCCCCCCATTCGCTTCGGTTCTCTGCGGCTGCGCTTGTGCCATTAGTTTAGTAATATTGGATTTTACATTTTAGGCATTTAGCTGACATAATTAGCCAAATGCAATAAGCGGCGAGTCAGCAGGATGGAAGGCCCTGACATTTAGATTAGGTTCGATTTTAATAGCAGTCAGATTGTATTAATCCTGAGGCATATTCCATTAACAAATTCCACACACAAAGTAAACTCTTGATTATTTTTCCATCTACCTTTTCACTTTTATCTGTACCTCTAATGTTGCTCCCTGTTTATCTACTGTATAAATACATATCTGTGTGATGTTGGCTCGGCCTCTCGGATCAAATGACACGCCTCCCCCTTCCCGATCGCTCTCTATGTTTTCCTCCCCTCTCGTTCTCACACACACACCTTCCCTCTCTCTCTTTATTTCTGGCTGTCTGTTTATCCTAAAGGCATGTATGGAATGACCTGTCGATATTACCGCTGCCTCGTATCCTCGCATCCAAATCTGGGCCAGAGCTCGCGTCACCTCGTCCGTCTGCACGTGCGTCGGCATGTGTTCGCCGCAATCACATAACGGGCAGAATTAAATACTCGTTTTATCCTGATGTCTTACTCGTGCATGTGTCTGCACAGGCCGGTGTGTGTGTGTGTGTTGAGATAGTAGGCCGTTCGCCGCCCGAGGTGCAACCGTGACACTGTTTAGAAAAGAGTCGGGCTGCCAGTCATTGAGTCTTTTTAACAAGACGGTAAAGGCGATCTGAGCTGGGATTGTTAAGACGTCAGCTCTGATTAAGCTTTGCACCGATGTCAATTCAATTCACAACACGAGTCAACTCAGGACACAGTAAAGATCGAAGCCTTAGCGTAATATTGAGACCCAATGATTGCCTTCGAGCAAGCATTTGGCAACCGTGGGAAGGAAAAACTGCTTCGAAACTTTGGATAGAACCTGCCTCGACTGGTCGGGCTTCCATCAAAGTGAAGAGAGAAAAGTTGAGCGACAAACAGCAAAGATGACAACAAACACTGTTGCTGAGGCCGGCTTCACAGCTGACATCTGCAGCTCCACACCCAGAGATACCTGCAGAAAGGTGCAGGGAGGAGCAGAGAGGAGAGAACAAACAGGCGCAGAGTTCATGACGTGTAATTGTGCCATACAAATGTATGCAAAGTGAAAGAGAATAGATTGTCAGTGCAGCAGTAAAAGCAGCGGGTTGTTAAGGGTCACCTGAGCAGCCTGAACTGTAAACTTTATGGAAACTCTAGGAACCAAAAGTCAGCCTGCACTCTGAGAGCAAAGGGGGATATTTAAGATAAGATGGAGTTTGATCATTAATGGCTTGTATGTGAGAAAAAGGATTTTAAATTCTACTCTGGATTTTTCTAGGAGCCACTGAACAGAAGCTAGAAATCAAATCTCTCTTGCTGGTTCTCCTGCAGCAATTTGGATCAACTTGAGGCTTTTCTAGCCTGGAAGTAACAAATGCATGGACTGGTTGTTTAGCAATAGACTGGTGACCTGTCCAGGGTGTCCCCTGTCGCCCTAAGTCAGCTGGGATAGGCTGTAGCCCCCCTGCGACCCTAGTGAGGGTTAAGCGGTGTATAGATAATGGATGGATGGAGTTAAAGGACATATCAAGCATAAGTCAAGATTACTCACAATAGTGCTGGAAGGCAATGCCATCCAGAGTAACAACATGGTTGGTGTGTTTCTGAGGTCTGAGGGGCCAAATTTACACGTCATCTACACCTTTATGGCTTCAAGACATACTTGACGTTTGATTTGTTTTATCCGACTAGATCGACTATAGCAGGGTGTCATGTTCAAAGCAACAAAAGTTCATACAGGGTTTCCTCATAATATCGCCTCAGAGAAGCATCGTTTTCATTAAAACCTGGCGCCTACAGTACAAATAGTGTAACTTAACCATCAAAGACTCAAGTGTGCTTCGCTGTTACGGACTAATTTAGCCGTTTGTTCCTCACTTCAGGAAATTTCAAGCATCTTTAGTCAGATGTCACATTGCAGGAGCCGTGAGCAGACTATGTTGTGTGGAATCGTTGGATTTTCCCTTCAGGCTCAGTATTAATTGGTGACTTTATTTTTATGATGTAGTTGAAAAAAAGGCTTGTTTGAAGCTTAGGCGATATCCCTATCTGCAGTCAAAACAGTCCAACTTCAACAACTTTGAAATAGGCTGTGATTCTTTGCAGTCATTGTTGTTCTGTCACCAAGTTATTTGCTGAGATTTGAGAATGTGGAGACATTGTTAGAAACATGTCTGTCGCTGCCAACTTTATGTGGAAAAGAAAACATTTTCCCATTACAAGCATCCAGCACGGTTTATTTACACTCTTATAGTTTAATGTAGAGCAGCTTTCCTCTGCAGTTATGGATTTTTTTTTGTATTATAAGCCTTTAAACTTTAAATAAGAGGCTGTTTAAGTGTCACATCATTTGTGGTGTTGGTAAAAACAAACAGAACAGGATGAAAAGAGGCTTCAGATCACAGAAATCGAGGTAAAGCGCCTCTCAGTCGACTGTGATATGTTTTCATACTTGGCTCCAGCTATTCAAATTAGTCATTTCCATAATGCCGGGTCAGATTTTATCTTAACACTACAACGATTTCTAAGTCAAGGCGGCTTCCAGCGGCGCTAGTGCCACCTCATTTGCCGTATGTGCCGCAATGTTTGGCTTTTCTTTCGCTGCTGCTTTTCATCTTTGTTGACGTTGGCGTGACTGAGCTGGATTGCGGCCACTATTCTTATTTCAGTAGCGGGAATGCAGCTCGCTGACGGTCATGGCCTCAAAAAAAAAAAGAAATACGGCTCAAACCGTTCAGACCACCGAGGCTAATTACAGGGTACTTAGACATGAACAAGGTCAGGGACTGGCAGTGACTAATACGTTACTTCATTTATGTTATTTCATGTTCAAAAAGTTGCGTATTGTGGCTTTTTTTTTTACAAATTGATTTTCAGTCGTTACTGTGGTGTTTTTGAACTTCCCAGAGATCACTTGTCAGTCAAAACGAAGCCAGTGTCTGTTTGTTCAGCTTTCCTCTGGATTAAGTTTCACCCTTGACGCAGATTTAAATCTGGCTCAGAAGATCTGGACAGTAGAAATGAAAAACTTGGAAGCTGAAAAGAAGCTAAATGTATAGAGAAGAGGCTTTCCAGAAGTCCTATTTCAAAGTCTGTTCAGTGATCGTCGTGGCTCCCCAGGAGATTTCCATCAGAGCTGAAGAGAAAGAGGACACGGCAACACAGATATCCAGCGATTATTAATGAGAACAGTTAATACGCTTTTACACAGATGACAAGGGTATTCTGGATGGAACCCATTTCTCTGAATAGAGGCACCCAAAAATATTGCATCTCCAGTGCAGTTTTTTTATTTTGGCTGCTCTGCTCTTCTTATCACTTTTAAGTGTCAGGAGTGTTAAACCACTAACTTGGTTTCGTGTTTTCTTACCCGTTGGACCTGATCAAGATGTATCTGCTTTGTATAATCGGGAGCGCTCATGGTCAGCGAGCGGAACTGGATCAGTCATTTTTAGAATCTCAGCACAGGCATGCGAGGACACCCACAAGTTTGCAGCCCAAAAATGTCAAAAGCACTTTTCCAACAACTTGAGAAAAAGAGGATATAAAGTACCATAAAGGTGACATTGCGTTTTATTGAGGACAGGCACACATGCGTTAAATAGTCTGTGGATGTGAGGGACTCGGCTCAGGCTCCGACTTCTGACATCCAGCTGCACAATAATGTCAGAAACTATATGTGTTTAATGCCTCTTTGATTGATTTGTATATCTTCTGCTGCAACCTTATGAAAACTCCTGCTTATCTTTAGCGATTTAGAAACTTTTGTTAGCTTGCTGCTCGGCCACAAAGCAAATATGCAGCGTGGCTTCCCCCGAGGACCAGCTCTGAGCCAAATTGAAGCATAAATCTGTTTAACAAATACTCTGTTGGGTTGTTTCTCACTTTGGCTGCAGTTATGGTTCGCAGAGAAGTTAAACGACAGCCTTCCCAAATATCAATGTTTGACTTATGGCTGATTGATCGATCCGGCTCTCGTTGAGATGTGTTGTGGAAGTTCATTAGAAAAAAAAAAAAGCATGTAAATGTTTGCTGAATCTTCTAACAAACCTCTTGAATGTTAGCTCAGCCTGCAGAAGCACGTCCCGCTCTTTCCTCTCGCTCCATCCATCATCCTTCTAATAGCCTCTTTTCATTCTTCTGTGACTTTATTTACACCACCTGCCTCCTCCTTCTCACCTTTTTCTTTTACACTTTTTCTCCTTGGAATCTGCTTTATCTCATTTCCTTCCCCCATGTGTATAACCGTCCTTATATACGTCCTTTCACCTCTCCTCCAGGTATCCCCACCTCATCCCGTCTTATCGCCATCTGCTTCGTGTCACCTTCCTCTTAAGCTTCACTTTGTTTAACATTTTCATTAAAATATCTCCGTTTTTTTCCCCCAGCCTTTCATTTATCTCTGTCTCTGTGCTGACAGCTTTATTCTTACAATATTCTTCCTGCTGATATTTTCT